TTATTTGTAAGAATGAAGCTACTTATTTAAACGGACTGGTCTTGGTTTGTGGAAGAAAAGAAGAGCAGCCAGATGATTTATGTCATCCTGATTCACCAGTCCATTCACATTGTCTAGTGCAGCACTTATTGAGTACAAAAGAGAAATATTTTCCAATACGATGTCCTCACCCTGTGTGTTCTAAATTTATTGATAATACTAAGATGCGAGATGAGTCAGACAGATATCATCCTATTCGAGTCAATGATCCTGCCAAATTTGCTAAACATGTATTAAGATCTGAAGATTCTAGAGCATTTCAATTACAAGGATGTTTTGCCAGCATTCTTCAAACCTTTTGTATGAAGCGTATGAAAATTCATTATGCTATGCATGTGAAAAGAAAGAAATATATTCAAACTAAGATGATGTCTCGCAAACGAATTGAACAATTGCATAATCCAAATTTAAAATTGGATGATAATGAGCCAAAGGATGAAGATAAAATGGAAGTTACATGCGGCCCACTTCAGTTTTTGTTAGGCCATTTTCATTTTTCATATTGGGCTGATAAAGTAAGCGGTAACATCCCTAGTAACGTGCCTGTTTGCTATCCGAATTTGGTCTTTAATCCCTATCGGGATGATTCGGATGAAGTCCAACCGATTTGGGGGTTTACATATTATGATACAGATACAGATGTTGTTATAGATAAATGTGGAGTTCCTGAGGAATTGTTGATTCCTGAGGCATGGTTTAAGAGCCAATTTGGAGAAAGTTTATCACAATATGTGAAAACTCTTAATTGATTTTTTTTTAGACTCGAGGAACTGTTCAACTTCATTTGTATGAAAAAAATGGATATAACAAAAAACTATTGATATGGTTTCCATCTAATTTAGATTAATATTGAAGCCTTGAGTGAACAACTTGATTGGGTATATGGAAACAGAGTACACGTATCTTCATGGTTATGGTCTTCAAAACAAAAATGGCATAGAATAGTATTAGAAATAGATGATTTAGATAAATATTACTTATATTCTTATACACCATCTAATAAAATTCCTATTGTTTGTGATCAAAATGATGATCTCAAAGATATTTTAAATCTTTTTGCTAAAAATGGTTCGATATACAAATGTAATTGTATTCCTAGTCCTGTACATTGTCAGTGCGGTTCTTCAAATGGTTCAATTTTTCAAATTCCAGGCATTGAAGCTTTGTTTGAATATGATAGCGAAAAACATTTGAAATTTATTATTGAAGTTTTAGAGTATAATAATGTTATTAAATATTCAAATAGTATTGGATGCTCATCATTAAAATATGATGCGATGGGCCCCAAAAATAAAGAAGCAAATGCATCATGGCGTTATAATAAACAAAATAGATTTTGTAAAAAAAAATGTAAAGTAGCCATTTATTGGGAGTATAAACATAATATAAATGAAACAAAGAAGCATTTACGTAATAGATGGGTTTAAAAAAGACTTTGTTTCTGTAGATATTTGAGTATTTCCCTGTTGTCTTCAATCAAGTAGGAGGTAGTAGAATAAGTAGTAACATGGAAGAAGAAGAAGAAATTCCTATTTTCAAATCATGGCGACGAGTTCCAGGAACTTCTTCTTTAAAATTTCGAACTAGATCTGTGGATTATGTGTTTGTTACACATGAAAATGAACAAGTACGAGGAGATGAAAATCAACAACGTGCTTTATATAATGGACGAATATGGGTTGATTATATGCTTCAACAAGCTTTACTTCATGTCTATGAAAATGAGCAACTTCAACCCAATGATCGTGTAACTATTACCATCAGCGGTGGTGATTTGACCTATCCATTAACAATCCCTTATCATGTTTACCATTCGAACATCAACAACGGGCTTTAACGGATGCTATTAATCGAATTCAACAATCTAAAAAAGAATGGATGATGGGTGTGACATTGACATTATCTATTGGAATTGTTCAAGTCTATCAAGGTCGTGGGCGTAATTTGAAAAATAATGTTATAACACAAGAACGGTTTGAAGAATGTCAAGAACGATGTGTTGTGAAACGAATTACAGATTGGTCGTTGATGATTCATCATGCTTTGCAACGCTTTGGAAAAAAAGAAGTGCCCGATTCTTCTCCTTTGAATGCTGAAAATTGGAAAGAGAAAATGAAGACGTATTGCACTTTGTATCCTGATATCAATGTTTTAGTCTTAAGTCAAGCAATTTGGGGAGGTACTCATACAATTTTGTGGAAAAGTGAGTGTAAAGAAACAGACCGTGTTATCGTATTGTGGCAAACTCCTGACGGAGAATGGTATGAGGTGATGTCTCCTAAATGGCTGTTTCCAGGACGTGTGGTTCTGTGTTTGAAATGTGGACACTGTTTTCATTCAAGAAACAGGCACGGATGTTGCGAAGAAGAATTTGTTGGTCAGAAAAAATACAAGCGTAAAGCTCATTTCAAATGTACAGAGAATGAATTGAAACGAAAAAAGCGAGCTCGTTATGATTCAATGTTGGATCAAAATTGCTTGGGAGCTTCTCTGTTTCAAATGGTGAAAGAACGAAAAGTCGAGTCCGATCATTCCTTGACGTTAGAACAATGGTTTCAAAAGATGCAGATGAAACATACATGGAATTGTCCTTCTGATTTGAAAGAAGTTAAGGAATGGGCTGAGAAATTGCAACAAATCTACCAAACGTCGTTTGAATTGATTGTATACGATGGAAGTCTGAAAAACTTTCAAGCTCGGTTTGGAGGAGAAAATCAACCTGTTTCCTCCCCTGTGTTTTTGGAATATGACCGCCGCCATTTTACCTGGATTCGTTCTATGCCTGGATGGATGGGTGTCAAAAATATTTGCAATAAATGTTTGAAAGGATTCAATCACAGTCCATCAACTCATAAATGTAATCGTGAATGTTCACAATGTGAAGCTCTTTTTCAATGTGACGATTGTGGACTTCGTTTTGGAACTCAAGCATGTTTTTATTTTCATAAACAAAATCGAGACAAGAAAGGAGAGATCTTTACCCAATGTCAAAGGAAATTTAAATGTTACAATTGCTATTCTATTGTCGATTTATGGGATGGTAAAAAACTAAAAAAAAAATCGTCACATCGATGTTTTCAATTCAATTGTAATGTGTGTGGACAACGAAATGTAACACGAAACGAACATCAATGTTACATTAAAACAGAAGCACATCATGAAGATGACTTTGATGTTAAAAAAAGAACAACGAAATTGGCTTTTTTTGACTTTGAAACGCGCTGTTTAGAAGAGCATCATGTTGTAAATAAAGTAGTAGTGCTGTTAGTCTGTAATGAATGTCAAGACTATATCGAAGATTGGAAAACGAGAGGATGCACAGCCAGTTGTGGACGAAAACGAATGTGGATCTTTGAAACAGTCAAAGAGTTTATGGACTGGTTGTTGGGCCCGAAGATGGAGAAATGGATGGATTATACGTTTTTACCTCATAATTTTAAAGGCTATGATGCTTATCCTATATTGGAAGAGTTAGTTAAACGAAACATTTCCCCGTCGTCATGTATCTATCAAGGAACCAAATTATTGACCATGACAGTGAATGGGATTGTCTTCAAAGATTCGCTCTGTTTCATTCCTATGGCTCTGCGTCAATTTCCAGCAGCGTTTGGAACTTCGGGTGGAAAGAGAGGGTTTTTTCCTCATTTTTTTAACAAAAAAGAAAATGAACAATACATTGGACCGTATCCTCCATTAGAGGATTATGGCTATGATGAATTGACTTCAGAGAAAGAAAAACAAGAAATGAAGACCTGGTGGTTGTCTCGTCAAGGTCAAACAATGAACTTTCAACAAGAGCTGACAGAATACTGCATTCAAGATGTGCTTGTGATGATGCGTGGTTGTTGGAAATATCATGAATTGATTGTTTCATTGTATGGAGTTAGTCCTTTTCATGAAGCTGTGACATTAGCTTCAACATGTCTGCGTGTGTTTACGAAGAACTTTCTTCAACCTCAGACGATTGGAATTGTACCTCCTATGGGGTATAGACCACGTGATGTCTATTCTCATCAATCGATGGAATGGTTGTACTCGCTTAATATTCCTGATTTGCAATCGGCTCTTTCCCCGTTGGGTGAAAAGGTATTACTTGGCGATAAAGTAGATGGATACAATTCTAAGACGAATACTGTGTATCAATTTCATGGTTGTTTTTGGCATGGATGTGAAGAATGTTATCAGAATCGTCATATCAAGAATCCCTATTTGGGAAAAACTATGTTAGAACTGTTTGATCAAACACAAGATCGAACACGTGCTTTGCGTCAAGCAAAATATCATGTGGTAGAAATGTGGAGTCATCTTTGGGATGTGGAACGTGTTCAACATGTTCCTTTTCCACGCCAAGTCACCAGACAATTTCCTCTTCAGCCCAGGCAAGCATTGATGGGGGGCCGTACCAATGCCATTCATCTTTACGCATAAACGGACGAAGTTGGTTTACCAACATCGAAAGTTGATGAAAGCCTTCAACGTGTCACATCTCCTTCACATCGTATTCGTTACATAGATGTAGTGTCTTTGTATCCTACAGTGATGAAACAAGAATGTTTTCCCGTTGGTCATCCTGAACTGCTCACGTCTTCGAACCTTCCTGCCTTGGAAGAATGCATTAAACACATTACAGAGGACACATGGTTTGGGTTAGTGAAAGTCGATGTGGATGCCCCTCACGAATTGTTTTTTCCTGTTCTACCTATGATTGTTCATCATAGATTGATGTTCGGCCTTTGTCGAACATGTATGGAAAAAGTAACGATGATGACGATGATAGAACTGATCGCTGTTCACATACGAAAGAACAACGTCGGCTCTTGGATGGCGTGTGGACCACCTTTGAATTGAAGAAAGCAATAGAGAAAGGATATGAGATTCATGCTGTGCACGAGGTTTGGCATTATGCTTCAAGAACTAAAACAATGTTTTCAGATTATATCAATCAAAATCTGAAATTGAAAATGGAAGCTTCTGGTTGGCCTTCGCAATGTCAAACCGAAGAATCGAAGCAGAACTTTCTCAAAGATGTTGAAAGCCGAGAAGAGATTAAACTCAACCCTGAAAAAATGAAGTTTAATCCAGGCATGCGCTATGTAGCTAAATTATTCCTGAATTCGTTGTGGGGGAAATTTGCTCAGAATGAACAACATTCCAAAACTGAGTATGTGAATGAAGCAGATCGATACTTTAAGCTATTGTATTCAGATATTCATGAAGTGAATCAAGTGGTGTTGCTAGATGGAGGCGAAATGGCTCAAGTGACATTTACGGAAAAAAAAGAAGCGATTAAACCATTACAGTATGGAAATGTGGTGTTGGCTTCCTGTGTCACGTCCTGGGCAAGATTGAGGCTCTACGAGATGTTAGACAAATTGAAGGAACAGGTGTTATATCATGACACCGATTCAATTATCTACAAAACATCATCTCCTGAAGAAGAAGAAATTCCCACAGGATCTTCTTTAGGTCAATGGGAAGATGAATGTAAAGATCCTTCCAAGAATTGGCTTATTGAATTTGTATCAATAGGTCCCAAGTCATATGCTTATCGAACCCATGAAGGAGAAACATATATCAAATGTAAAGGAGTCACGTTGACGACTTCAGTCCGTGATAAAATCCATCTTCAATCTATGAAAGAAATGGTGGCTGAAAAACACGTGACTCAGACAGTGTCTTATCCACGTCGAATTGAACGAGATGCTGTATTTAAACAGCTTCGCACCGTGTCTATGAACAAATGTGTTCAGCTCGTCTACACGAAAAGACAATTTTTAATGGGAACTTTTTGTAGCATGGATTCAACATTGACTGGAGGGGAGGGAACTAAAGTGGTAAGAAATCAAGACTCATTTTATTTTGAGGGAGATTTGTATTTACACCTCGAGATAAGGAGATGATAAACAGTTGACGTAAAATAGGCGTTGAATGCGTGACGCACTGAAATGAATTCATGTAAGGCAAGCGAACGCCTTGAATTTTTGTCTATATGAGACGTCAAGATAGATGTTCTTTACTAGAACAGTGATATAAACATTGTGTATTACACTAGTATGCCATACAATACACAGAATAATATTTGGAATTTGTTTTGATAACAACGGAATACAAGTGCCGGGAAGCATAATGGCCATTGACCCTAAAACAAAAGCTACGATTTACTTGTTCAAAATGAAAGGCCTTTCCACTCGTCAAGTACCAAAAGAATGTAATGTTTCACAAGCAACAGTCTGGCGAATGCGGAATTCCAGTATCAAGGATAAGATATCCACGAGTAAGAGAGTAGAAACGAGAGGAAGACGAAAGAAAATAACAGCGAGATAGGAAAGGCAACTGAGGCGATCTATACAAATCCTCCGAGAACAAGAGGGACATTTTACAATAAAAAGGTTAATGTGGAAAGCCTCTATTGACACAAGTGTCGTATCTTAGAGTACAGTGGGTCGTTTTTTTCCACAAAGAAGGATATTTCTATCTGCAAGCACGAAAGAAAGGCTTACTAACAAGAACAGACATGAAAAATCGCAGTTCTTTTGCCAAAAAAATGCAAAGAGATTTCAGTCGGGACGTATGGACGGAAGACATATCGTTCAATGTAGACGGCACAGCGTTTGCATATAAAACAAATCCTCTTGATCAAGCCCGCGCACCTAAAGGAAGAATATGGCGCAAAAAAAGTGAAGGGATGGATTATGGGTGTGCCGTAAAGAGAAAAAAGACGGGAACCGGAGGGCGTGTCCTAAAGCTAATGGTTGCTATAAGCTTCGACAAGGGGGTGATTTTATGCAAGGCATATGAAAAGCTGAATGGCCCGAATTTTGCACATTTCATCCACGAGAACTTTGATGACATGTTGTTAAAAGCCGATAAAAGCCAAAGACGTCTATGGATTCAAGACGGCGATCCAAGTCAGAATTCAAAAGTCGCCCATGACGCTATGCAACATTCTTGATAAGCGAATGGAACATTCTTGATAAGCTGTTGATTTCAAACTTCTTGTCGTCTTTTAAGTGTTGTGTAGGTATGTCTCTGTTCGATCATCTCTTACATCTATCATCTGTGGATCTTGAACGTGGCAAACATTCACTATCACCAATGATCATATAATAAAAAAAAGTTATCACTTATTCATTAGTAGTAAAGGGGTCAGTA